TGATCACTAGGTTCTGTAAGCGTGTGCTAATACAAGGGAATTTTTTTTTTTTTTTTTTGGTTTTTTTCTGTTACCAGGAATCAAACTCACGACCTTGCACTCCCAGGCAGGTGCTGTGCTGCTGAGCTAAATCCCCAGCCCCAACAAGGGAATTTTTAAAACTCTCCCAGTTCTTGAGGTGCAAGGCCTGGCCCTGGAGGTTGAGGAAATACAAAGGCACGTGCCCCGTGAGCCTGGCCCTGGGAAACCGGGTCAGGCCAGAAACAGCGGCGCTGGTGCACACTGCTGTCCGCAAACCATCCCCTCCCGCAGGCGCCGCCGCGGCACGGGCAGCGACAGGCTGCTCGGCTCGCCCGTCCGTCCGCCTGTCTGGAAGCTGCCTGTGAGCCAGAGCCCCTACAGATCTACACGTGGGGGCAACGGGAACCCCGCTTACACGGTTACTGGAGTGGTGACGTCAGCTCATGAAGTTAGAGTCTGCACACAGGCTCACAGGCTGTGCCTGCGGCCCCGCCCCCAGAGGACGACTGCAATTAGGCAGAGCGGCAGGGACCCTTGCGGGGCAAAGAAACAGCCCGGTCCCCAGGACCCTCCTGCGGGTGCCACTCACTGCCAGGGGATCTGTTCATCCTGAGGTTTGTTTTTTTTTGTTTTTTTTTTTTCCCCGGTACCGGGAACCGAACTCACGACCTTGCACTTGCCAGGCAGGCGCTTTGCAACTGAGCTAAATCCCCAGCCCGGTTTGTTTTTCTGTATTTTACTTTGTTTTGTTCTGGGTGTTTTGTTTTGTTTTATTTTTTGTTTTGAAACGGGGTCTTACTATATCACTCAGGCTGACCTCCAGCTCACTATGTAGCCCAGGATGGTCTGGAACTCACAGTGACCTCCTACCTCAGGTTCCTGATTACTGGGTTTATGGGTGTGGGCCACCACTCCCAGCATTCCCTTTTTAAAAATGTTACAGACAACCCCAGCACTCAGGAGGCTGAGGCAGGAGGATCCATGTCAGTTGAAGATCAGCCTGGGCTACATAGCAAGAGCCTGTCTCAAAAAAAAAAAAAAGAAAATGAAAGAAAACTCTGACCCTGAGACTCCCTCCAGCCTGGAGGTTCTCTGGACAGCCCGGCTAAGGGTTCTGCTGAGCAAGGCCAGCTCTGATTCTGCTGGGGAGCCTTGCATTTCATCAGCTCAGAAGCTCAGCCTCAAGCTGGTTTGGAGGTGCATGCCTATAATCCCAGCACTTAGAAGGCTGAGGCAGGAGGATCATCAAGTATTTGAGGACAGCCTGGGACACACAGTGAGCTCAAAGCCAGCTAGAACAAAAATAAAAAAGAAGCAGCAGCAGCTAAACCTCAGCCACTTCCTGGAGGACGGGCTGTGAGCAGCGGAGGCTACTAAGCAAACCTTTGGAGGCTAATTTTTTTTTTTTTTTTTTTTGGTCTTTTTTAAGACAGGGTCTCGCTATGCAGTTCAGACTGGCCTCAAACTCACAATGATGATCCTGCCTCAGCCTCCCAAGTGCTGGGATTACAGCCGTGCGTCACCATGCCCAGCTGGACACTAACTTCTACATCAGCATCTGCTTATTAATGTGTAATGCAAAACGCATCCACACAAAGAGCCAGAGCGTCCATACCCGTGGGACGGTGGCCTCCGTTCGCAGACCCGTGGAAATGGTTCGCCCACACACGCCAACCAGTCCTCTGTGCCAGTGCCGAGGACCTCAGGGCCCCTCTGGAGAAAGCACTACCCAGCGTGAGAAGGAAGAAAGGAAGAACTCTGCGGAGAAGCCTCGGCAGCCCCACAAGCCTCTGCCTGAATCTTCACAATCAACCCCAGGCGGGTTGCATTCCGGCACTCTTGGGGGGCTGTAAGCCCAGCTCTCTGCAAGGCTGAGGCAGGAAGATCTCAAGTTCCTGCCCAGCCTGGGCTACTCAAGGACTTAGAGAAACCCTGTCTCAAAATTTAAAAAAAAAAAAAAAAAAAAAAAGGGAGGCAAAGCTGGGGATGTCACTCAGCGTGAGGCCAGGGCTCAGGCCCAGCACTGAAAACAGACAAAGCGAGAGTCTCTGAGCAGAGACGCGCCACAGCCCCGGGCGGCTCGTGTCCCGCCTCCAGCCACGCGCCAGACACCGCTGCCACAGAGGAGCCCCGGGCCTGTCCCCAGGACACCCCCGTCTCAGAGGGAGACAAACAGCCACTGCAGGTGGTGGCCAGGCCTGGCAGGGACCGGAAAGCAACAGGAAGAGGAAGCAGCTCGGTGCAAGGGCCCGGCAGCCGCTCAGGGCAGCCCGGCCTCGGGGGAACCCGGGGCTCGCCTGCCACCCACACCTGCCACTCGGGCCATGGCAGACTGCCACTGCCTCCCCCACTCTCGGTGACAAAGGGCTCCTGGCCGACCCTGTACCACACTGCGCCCACACTGCAGCGCCTCAAGACTTGCTACTTTTCTTTTTTCTTTTTGTCTTTTTGAGACAGGGTCTTGCTGTGCAGTCCAGGCTGGCCTTGAGCTCACTTTGTAGCCCAGGCTGGTCTCAAACTCCCAACGATCCTCCTGCCTCAGCCTCCCTAATGCTGGGATTACGAGCTCACTTTGTAGCCCAGGCTGGTCTCAAACTCCCAACGATCCTCCTGCCTCAGCCTCCCTAATGCTGGGATTACAGGCGTGTGCCACCACACCCAGCGCTACTTTTCTTAAGAAAATCAAGTGCTTCAGTGTCTACTGAGGTAGAGGGGACCCTTCCTCGGGCCACAGACCATGCCTGGCTCAGGACTGCACAAGGGAAACAGGCTCTGCCAGATGCAGCCAGCTTGTCCTGGTGACAAATGCACAGACCCAGGGAGGCCACGCTGTGGGGCCAGGGTCCCCACAGCGCCTGGAGTCCTACTTTGGCCCACAGACAGGATTCCAGGCACGAATCTCTCCAGCTTTAGCCACTCTCAGTTTTGGGACTGGCGATTAAACCCAGGACCTTGGTGCTCAGCTACATCCTCGGTCCTTTTTTTCATTTTTTATTTTGAGACAGGGTCTTGTTAAATTACTAAGGTGCCCCGTCTGGGCTAAAACTTGCAACCCGCCTGCCTCGGCCTCCCCAGTGATGGGATCACAAGCATGGGCCACCATGCCCGATCTCTGGCTCTCAATTTGCTGCCCTCTTCCTTCCACTATTTCTCATCTCAGATCTGGAGTCCCAAAGTGACTCCAAATCCACCGCAAAATAGCTTTTCCTGGGAGATACAAAACCCCCGGCCTCTTTGTCCTAGAGTTAAAACGGATGAGCTGGGGGTGGTGGCACACACCGGTAATTCCAACCCTCCAGAGGCCGAGGCAGGAGGGCCACCGC